GTGTATAAGAGACAGATCTAAACATTAAAAAATTAATTTATTATTAAGTTCAGAAATTATTATGTAAACCACAAATAAATAAGATGTAAAAGCGTAGAATGGAAACAACTTTAAGAGAGTAATCTTAAGATATTATGAAAAAATAATGTACAGAGTTGAATAAAAAATAAGTTTTATTATTGTTAAAGAGAAATAATAAAAAATATTATAACTCTTAATATATTTATTATAATCTCTTATTATTATTATTCTTATTATAATTTATAATGTTAAGAATATCAATCATGTCGATTTTGTTATTCATTTATTAATACATATCTTATTGTTTTGATGAAAACTATGCACATGAACACAGATAGTGTATATTCGGAGGCATTTATAATTAATTCTTGAAAATGATATTTTGTAATTTAATTTCATTATATACGGTTGAATTCAGAAAAAAATAACCTTCAATTTGGTAGAAAAAAAATTTTTTTAATTAAAAAGAAACATAAAGTGATAGGGATATTTTGTTAAATAAAAAATAAAAAAATTTCTTTTTCTTTACAACTTGAAAGTAATTTTCAAACCGTACAACTTTTGTTTAAAACATTTTTTTCTATCTTTTATATTATCGACGATATTCGTTACGAAAGAAAAAAACAATTTTTTTTCAAAAGGATGTTTCACCCCCTAAACCTGAGATTCCGCACATCCTATCTAAAAAAAGGCATGTTAAGTCGAAGTCGAATTATCGAAAAGTCTCGAAATTTATTGTTGACTCTATTCCGTAACGTTGATTGGTTATCTCGCTGTGTTTACTTCGTGTCCTTCGTGAGCGGCTGTCATTGCATATTTTGACAGTTGCGTGCATTGAAGTTGATGTGTAATTGTAAATAATAGTAAAAAGCAAAAAGTGCAGCTAAATAGCGCGCGCGGAGCGCGCGTCTGTAGTGCTAGTATAATTAAAAAAATACATGATTCATTATAATTTTATTTGTTTAAAAATTTATTCTTTATTTAATAAAAATTAGATATATATATATATATACACTGGTCCAAAAAATTAAAGGATCACCTGTTCTAGCCTCTAAAAATAG